GGCTGGAGCGCATCAGGGCCCGGCTGGCCAACGAGGAGTACCGGCGCATGACCCGCAACGTCACGGCCGCGGTGAGCGCCGCCGCGGAGCCCCCGGCGCGGGAGCCTTCGGTCTCCGTGTTCCTTCCATCCCTGTGGTTCCCTCAGGCTCCTGGAGTTCATGTCGCCTCTGTGGGGGCTCCCTCCCCTTTCCTTTGAGGAGACAGGAACGCTGTTTAGTTCCTCAAAATCAGGGCAGGCCGTGACGTGGTGGGGAGCAAAGGAAACCCTCTGAGTAGGGTGAATGTAGCAGAGTGGGAACATAAGCCAGGATTAGAGTGACTCCTCTGCATTGTCCCAGCCTGACCACGAGCACAAACCAGGGAACCCCAGGCCTGGCAGAACAACCTCCCCCCACCGTGTCTGACCGCTGCTGGAGCCCGCAGAGGCTGCCTGAAGTTTGGAATGAGCCTTTCACACAGGGCTTTGTGTCAGAGCTGCTCCTGTAACCAAATACCACACACCACAAGCTGTTTTATTCCTTTCTTTCAGGAGCTGAACCGGTACGGGACACTGGCCGACTTTGGGAGGCAAGGTGAGTGCAGCCTGTTCCGCTGACACTGAGCTGGGTGTAGCTACAGGCAGAAGAATCACCCTAGGGAAACGTCACATCAAAAACCACATCGTTGTCTTCCCCCTGTCTCCAGTTCGCTCCGTTAAGGCTGTGGTCATCGCCATACTCAACTTCTTTGTCACCGTGGCGGCCTCGTTCGCGTGCACGTACCTGGGCAGCCAGTACATCTTTGCGGAGACGGCTGGCAGAGACGGCTGCGGTGAGCGAGCGCCCGCGGGCTCCGCGCGCACCCGGCCGCCCACAGGGGCTCCCTCACCTGTCTCTGTGTCCCCAGCGCGTCCTGTCCGCAGTCATCGTGGCCTCTGTGGTCGGCTTGGCCGAGCTCTACGTGATGGTGCGGACCCTCGAAGGAGACCTGGGGAAGCTGTGACTGCATCTGCCCGGGAGTCCTTTACCTTGGGCAGGTTTGTCCTGGGACTATCAGCTGTTGCACCAGGAAAACTGCTGCATCCCTCAGGCCTCATCCTTGCGCGCTCCTTACATTCCCAAATAAATCATGGGTTAAAGACCTCGCAGCTGCAGAGCAGAGGAGCCCATGGCAGCGGACTCCTACTCTGCCAGCACAGAGAGAGTCGTCAGCTGCTGATATGGTTCTTTTGGGAAGCTGCTGGGAAATTCTGGAAATAAATATGTTGTGTTTGTGTTTGCAGCCTCTTTTGTGCACACAGCACCGTGCCCGGTCTCTAAAAGACGCTCTAGAGAGCTGCAAATCTTCCTTTCTATCCCATTCCGTCTCCTGCGGAAACCTGTGTCCTGGGTCTGTTCTTCCTGCTCCCTTCTTTAGGGAGGGCATCCCTCGCCTGTGAGTGGCATGGGGGTGACCTGCCCCATCCCGTGTGCACGTTGGGTCCACGCAGAGCTCTCCCGGAGAGCGGCAGCACCCAGGCAGCGGCCCTGCCACCACGGTGGCGTTTCAGCCACAGCCATGGCAGCTCCGCGTGTGGCCCTGCCCTTGGTGGAGCTCATGCCACGTTGTCCCATGGGGAGATGTTGGCACCGGGAGCTGCCTGCTCCTGCTCTCCTGGAAGCTCCAGGCCACCAGAGATGGGGCAGGTCACTCCGATGGCAGCAAGGGACCCAGCTGTGACCACGAGCTGCGGCTCTGTCCCAAGGCTTCCCCCAGCAGTCACTTAAACCCAGGAGGACAAGCAGCCCCGTGCAGAGCCCGGGGGCTCCCCAGGTGCCTCAGAGCAGAGAGCGGAGGCAGCTCGGTGCAGCAGTGGCCCTGCAGCAGGGAGGGGACCTTGCGGCCACCACTGCCTGACACTGGGGTCCAGGACACCTGCCGAGCGGGCAACGTGCCAGGGCCGGACACGGTGATTAATGCTCTGATGGCAGCTAAGCCCCTCTGCGAACGCGCTTTAATATCCGATAGGGGCAGATCGGGCGGCACCTGCAAACGTGCCCGCGGATTAGGGGCGGCTGTACCACAATCATCTGCGGATACGGCCTCAGATTAAGGTATTTTCCCAAAAGATTAGTCGGAATTAGGGGGGGATGCTGATGGGGGGCCATCCCCGCGGCGGCCTCACCGGCATTTAGGATATTGGATGACACGGCGGGACCTGAAGGAGCGGGCGGTAATTCCCGGCGCTAAAGAAGCCCCGGGCGGGGGGG